TATTTTATTTATTTTTTTTGGGGTGGGGAGGGAGGGGGTCGATTCTCTAACCCGCTTTCCCAAAATTACTTTAAAACTGAAAAAAAAAAAGATATTACATAAGCATTATATGAATGATGTTACTTTTTTTTGGCGCGGCTAAGAACTTAAACACTATTTTGCAAGGGACATAACAACATTTTTTTTCTTTTTGCACTCCAGATGTTTTGTTCCCTCCCTTTAATTAGAATAATATTTCAATACCCGGACAATTTGAATACATGTACATGTCAATAAAAGTAATGTTCACGCCTCGAGATCATACTATTCTGAGAGGTAACGTCCCGTCCTGGTTTCTCCAACATGCCATCCATTCCATCCCCTGTTCTGACTTCGTCATACCATCAGGATCAATCCCTTTTTTTGTTCTGACTTCTCCGTCATACCATCCTTCTCCGTCATACCACCAGGATCAATCCCTTTTTTTGTTCTGACTTCTCCGTCATACCATCAATCCCTTTTTTTGTTCTGACTTCTCCGTCATACCATCAATCCCTTTTTTTGTTCTGACTTCTCCGTCATACCATCAGGATCAATCCCTTTTTTTCTTTTGGTTTCTCCGCCACACCAGCCATTATCAAATATATTCGTTACTTTACTTTTACTTTTTCTTTTTCATCCTCTGTTGCCGTTAAGTTGTTAAGCGTCGAAGGGAGATGCAGTTTTCTATGGTAGGCCAGCTCCGCAGCTCTTTCAGTTGTGATGTTATGTTTTCTTAGGGTTTCCTCGACACCCTCGATCCACCTTTTGCGTGGCCTTCCTCTTCCTTTATAGCCTGAGTGCTTGGTGTTGTAGGCTCTCAAGGCTGGCTGGTCAGGTGACATGTGTAACAGGTGGCCAAACCATTTTATCCTCTGTCTTTCTATGTAACGCAGGCAGGACTCAGTGCCGATAGCTGCTCTTACTTCTTCATTTCTCTGCCTGTCTTGTCTAGTGATGTTATGTGTTTTGCGGGGACATTTCATTTCGCATGCAGTGATATTGCTTTCATGGGTTTTGCTTAAGGTCCAGGTTTGGCACTGATAACATAATGTTGGTATGAATATGGAGGTGATAAGCTGTCTCTTTGTGTCCATGGACATGTTTGGATGAGATAGGAGGGGTGCGAGCTGGTAGGTGACAGCGTTGGCTTTTTGAGTTCGCATTTCTATTTCTCTGTCTATGGACCCGTTTTCAGAAAAAGTGCTGCCAAGATATTTAAACTCTTTCACCTGTTTCAGTTGTTTACTATTGACATGGATGTTCAGGGGACTATGGTTTCGGCTCACTTTCATAGCTTCAGTTTTTGATGTGCTTATTTTCATGTTGAATTTCTCACAGGTGTTGAATCAAATATTCGTTTAAAAATTAAATATAGGTGCTTTCGACATTGACACAATTCAGATCATTCAGGAAGTGGGCTTTTACCCTACCTGTCAGGTCCAACCCAGGCTGAGAGGGATATATCATCTCAGAAGAAAAGACAGAGATAGTCAATAAAAATTCTACCCAAGCGGGAATCAAACTGAGGCCTCCTGTGTATGATGGCAAAGCATTGTTACCCTTAACCACTACTTCATAGACGCCGCTACACAAAAGTATTTCTTCATCAACGACGACATATATTTTAATGTAACATATATCATTTACTGTCAGCGCACTAGGGAAAATAAATTGAAAAAAATTCAAGTCTTTCAGAGAGCTTGTTTGAGCAACCTCTTTAAACCAACAACCCTGCTAAACTGAAGAAAATCTGGCGGTCCCCCAGATTTCAGTATAATTCTGTCCTCGTGATTTTATGCACCCCGCATAATTTAGCAAAATATGATCGATTTTTGCATCATTTCTCATTATTTTCCTTTACTATTCTTTGTTAAAATTAACAGAATCGCACAATTTCATATTTTTGGGCTCAGTTTGCATAATTTAAGAAATTTTCTTGCATAAAATGACGGGGACAGATAATTAGCAGACCCCGCTGTATTTCATGCTGTGTCTATGTACTACACGTATATAAGTACAAGTAGAACAGGGGCTCTCGTGGCCTAGAGGTTAAGGTGTTGGCCTCTCATTCAATCAAAGGTCCCGGGTTCGAATCCGGGTAGCGACCGAAACATTTTCTTCTCTAAAATTGTCTCCTTTCACCTCCTTTCCTGCTCTCTAGCAATGTTCTGTTGTCTGCTTTCATTTCCACTTTCTGCCCCCGCCCCCTCACCTCCTTTGCTCCCTCCTCTGGGCTCCTGACTCTTTCTGCAGCCTTTCTACTGCTACTCCTTAGCTCCTCCTTACTGCTGTCTTTCTTCCACACCCCTGATCTTCTGGTAGGAAAGATCTACACCTAGCCTTCTCGGACAAGGGCGAAAAATCTCGGAGGGCCCGTGTGCAAGTTGCGCACGTTAAAGATCCCTTGGTGGTCTAAAATTGATAAGAGTAGGCTTCGGCCACCACCCGGGCAAAATTCAAAATTTCCTACCAACTGAAAATGTTTAATGTGTCCTGCGCGCTATATGACCTATGCAGTTGCGAGCGCCATAAAACACTTTACAAAAACAAACAAACAAACAAATAGAACAAGAAACTGAAGCCAGTGGTTTTGTATAGTCCATGAGACAGAGAGGTCTTTCCTTCTCTCTCTTTATTCATTATTAGGTAACAAAGCATGATATTATCTACAAGTAAAGCTGCTGCCGTGAAGAAGCACACTTACAAGCTAACAAAATAAAAATATGCGGAGACATGAATATGCACAATTCATACATATATAAATAATGGCTGTGTCCCTCTCTAATACAAATACCCTTATTCCATCTATCTCTCTTTCTCATTCCATAGGAACACACATACATGTGTAAATCTACACTTGTAAGTAAGCAAGCAGGAGTGCCCACATTTTTTTTTCTCTCATCAACATAGATGAAACCATTCAGGAGGAAGGCTGCTTCCACCTTGCCTGTTACTGCCAACCCAGGCTGTGTGGGCTTCCACAAGAAAAGTGGAGATTTAACACTTCCCCCACAAGGGAGTAAAGCTTGAAACATGACAGACCCTGGAAGACTGGTCACTATAGCTGAAGAGTTTGAAACTTCAGCTTGGAATGTCAGAAAACTTTCCAATTCATAATTTTGGAGGATTAGGCTATACCACTGGAATACTTCTGCATAAGAATTTCTGAACACATGAGATTTTTGTGTTTGTGAAATTTAAAATAATTATCTTTTTTTATCATCAGGTAAAGTCTGCAACAAACGATCAGCAATATCACTTGTTTTGCTTTTTAGTTATTAATGGAAAAAAGGCAAGAGAGTAGAATGGATTCTAAGTATCACAAACTACAATTTATTCTTTTAACATGCCATTAAAATATAAGCATTCAGGACAGAAATACAAGGCGGCCAAATTAGATTACATCATATGGATCTTTTCTTTTGTCCTAAAAGTACGTTTAAGAAGATTCAAGACAAAAAGGAAAGAGACAGTCACTTTTGAAAGTGAAAGTAATAGAAACATTGCTGAAAAATTAATAAATGTAATTACATCATGCTATGAACTGATTACAAACATGGAAAAATCGCGAGCAATAAACTTTGTAATGGAAGAAGTTTGCGGACTGCTTTCATTCTTTGTCTTGCATAAAACAGCAAGAAAAGTTACATATTCATACCATAAATAAAGAAATGTAAACAACGTTATTTTTTAAAATGAAATACTCACACACACACATTCACACAAAACGCATATTCTGAGTGCACTTTCTATTGTGTCTTTCTCTCTGATACAAAAATACAAACACACACATATATATATATGTGAGGCAGCGTGGTGGAATCAGGCTCTCGTCAATTTTTGGGCAGATTGAGTTATTGGTATCATCTTAAAGCTTGTTCATTTTCTTGCTTTCAAAGAAAAAATTACCCTTCCATCTTCAATAGAAGTGGAGATATTTTGGATTGAAGGAGGTGGGGGTCACCCGATCTAAGAGGTAAAATTAGCGAGAAAATGGCCGCCAAAGCTTGGTATATATTCCAAAGCTGGAAAGTCCATGGAAACTGTAAATTTATATTTTTGTGCCTTTAATCAACGTTTTCGGTGAAATTCGCAAAGGAATGTGTTGTAAATGGACATAAAAGGTGTTGAGCCAAAAAACGAAAATTCGATAAAAATTGCTATGAAGGGAGAAAACTGCTGTTTTCTTTGATTTCATTATTTTGACGAGAGACTGATTCCACCCCGCTGCCTCACATATGCCTTTTTCATTCTTGTCTGTCCCTGTACTGTAACACAAACACACACCTGCACACAAAACAGCATCAATCCCAGTCAAACCTCTCACGACTCAAAACCTTAACAAACAATACCAATGTTATCGGTCGAGGAAACAAATTCTACTACTACAATTACTAAAAGCTCTCTTGATACAGAGGAAACTTGCATTCACAAACTCAGACTCACCGAAAGGAAAATAAATCTCTCCACTCTTCTTTTTTTTTTTTGTTCATTTAAGTCATCAAAATAACTCATATTCATTGAAAACTTGGGAGTCACTGGAGAGGCAAGTGAACAACCATAGCTGACATTGCGTCATGATTTCTCTGCCACAAGGAAAATAATCTACTTTACTCCAAGGAACCGTCAATCAGTGAATCACCAAGCACCATAGACTATAACTATAACATGTTTATCACTTATATGAGTGTGTGTGCCTGGAGAAAGGTCCCAGTTGTCGGAAAATTTGCATATTAAAATGAGGGTAGATTTTTGTAGCAGATTCAATGCTGAACACGCTGTTTAAAATTTGTTCAAATATCTGGAGTAGTTTTAAAGATATATGCAACCTTTTGTAACCCAGGGTGTAAAACGAAAATTGGAGAAAAACAGCTTTAATCATAGTATGTTAATCTTCGGTGAAGTACAACATGGTGCAAAAATAAATTATAAAAATCCTTTCAATATGGTATTAAGAAATTGTTAAACGTGTGTTCTCCGACGAAAATAACTTTTTGATTAGGAACGACTTTTTAGTGCCTTTTCAATTTTCACCCCATTGCTCAAAAATAGTCATACATATACACTGTACACTATGGTTGACCAGTCAAAGACACAGTTATATAAGCAACCAATCAGAAGCCTTCTTTCTTTCATATCAAAACATGAGTTGTCGAAATGCATGGGATTGTGAGAGGTTGTGTGGGTAGCCAACAGATGCACTGTGTCTGTGTGGTAAGGGTGTGTGTTTGTGCGTATAAGGGAGGTGTGTCTTAACACTTTGTACCCACGCTGTGCACAGAGCACACAACACTTGTCCTTACGTACCAGGATGCAGATGCGGTACATCAAGTACGATACCTGTATCTCGGCAAAAATAAACCAACCAATATGAAATTTTCATCATATTGAGAAAATTGAATGTGATGATCACATATTCACCAAAAAAGGAATTAGAATCTGAACTGAAACCATTAGATCAAACACATTCATCACTCAAATTCTCATCATAGTGTAAGTATAAAGCAGCATTCATGCCAGACCTACTTGACATTTTTTTAAAATTACTCCAATTGTTGTAAACAAACCGATTTTTGACCTCACAGGCCACACAAAACATTCAGAAAGGAAATTATAACTTTAACAAGTGCACATGTCAAAAAGGAGATCATTGCTACATTTTTGTTGCTAAATTACACTGTCACCGATCGGCTTTACGTGGGGGCAAAGTGTTAAGCGTGCCTGGAAGGAATCATCAGCAGTTCCAAACAAATGTCATAATTTTTTTTTCACAGCTACTGAATAGTGAATAGAGATAGAGAGGCACGCAAGTTTGTGAAGCCAACATCATTCAACCTAGTTAAAATTGACCTTAGCGAAAAGACTTACACTGTATTACACAGAATGTTCCACAAACAATTGATAATATTACGTAGAAATGCATTTGAGCGAAGCGCTTTGTCACAAACCACACTCTTCGACAGTCAACCTTAAGAACAGACGACAGCTTAGTGTAAGACTCTGCCATATGCCATCTTGACAAGTGACGTATGACAGAGTCTTATGATGAGCGGTCAAGATGTCTTTGTTGTTATTGATTTTTAAAATGCTCCTGTTAATAGCATTTTTCTGTAGTAGAAACCTCGGAATCAACAAAATTTAGGGTGAGACCTGATGACTTCATTGGATATTTGTTTTACTGCATGACTAGAAGTAGAAGCTAACACAATTTACATCCTAGTTTCATTGTATTAAGCTAACAAAATTTACATGTATGTTCAGTTTCAGAATCCCCACTGGCTGTAAGTTTCGGGGGTGATTCAAGTCGAGTCTCAGTTCCAAAATAATTTGTCAAAAAGATATTTGAAGTACAAGTGATGGGGCTAGGAAGCAGCGAATCAAATCTCAATAACTCAACACTGAATACTTTCTACTTTTTCAAAATCGAGCTCAAGTGAGGGTCATGTAAGCAGAACACAATGAATAGGATGACAGGCAGTGCAGTATTCAACATATGTGTGGCTGCGAAAGAAAACCCTTCAGATGTCGCCAGTTCCATTTTTTTTTAGCTATGAGTCATTTTAGAGTTAAAAGTGAGCTGTTATCTATTTAAAATTTAGATGAGGTCATTTTTTAGTTTAAAAATATGTTAATTTTCATATTGAAATTATCTTGACGTCAAATTTGATGTTGAAAATGCATTTTGAGATGTTTTTCGTGGCACCCCCATCCGTGCGACAACCATCGAGTTCGAGAGACTTGCGAGCAGTGAAGGCGAAAACATTTTCACATTTCTGCTGACTCTGGATTCGTTTTATTTATTTTTTAACTTGCCTTATTATATATCAACATCCTTGACAGAACCTCAGAAATTCTCCAGAAACTAGTGCACACGCATTAATAGCGTCCACATGTAGTGCGCATCGAAAGAATGTGCAGTGTCTCTAGCGGGCTCTAAAAAAAATAGATCCCCGTTTCTAGTCAATTTTTGCTAGATTTAAGGAGTTGACTGTAAAATAAAAGTCCTAGAGACCGAAACTTGCATTTAAAACTGGAAAATATACCGTAGTTGTTACTTGTATAAGAAGAAGCAGGATTTACAACCTGGGTTGATATCAATGAAGGCTCGGATGTCCCTGTGGAAGCTTTCAGGTTCACACCACATCAGGGACCACGTGCTCTTGCTCCGCTCACCGAGGAGTCTACACCTCTTGACTGCTTCAACACTCTGTTTACGGAGGAAGTCATGGAAAATATTACATCTGTCAAAGAGTCTGCAGCCACAAGAGTTGTTATCAACAATCCACCCAAGAGAAGATCTGTCTTTGCGAACTGAACACCGATCACTGATCATGTGTTGTTGAAATTTCTCGCTCTGACTATTCAGATGGGAAAGAACAAAAGGCCAGCCATTCGTGATAACTGGTCTACCAATGCCCCAGATTATTGCACTTGGTATCATCAGCTCTTTTCCAGGGATCACTTTGAAGCAATTTGGTAAACAATGCTCCACTGCTCAGATGACCCGCACGCAGAAGGCAAAGAGAAGATCGAGCCTTTTCTCAAGAAGATCCTAGATAACTTTAGCAGCACGTTCTATCCAAGCCAAAATCTTGCACTGGATGAAATGGTTGTGGGATGGACAGGCCGTTGGAGGTACAAAATGCACAATCCGTCAAAACCCAAGAAAACCCACACCAAAGTTTTTGGGTAGGTGGACAGCAGGACAGGACACGAGGTGAATCTGCATGTTTACTTTGGAGCAGAACTAGTTTCATCGTTGACCTGGACAACAGCAATCCTCAAGTTGTCAAGGAATTTGAGTACCTACTCCACCCTCTAACTACCCGTGGTCATCATGTTTTTGTAGATAGGTACTACACATCGCAAAAGCTGATACAGTACTTATCAGCAAGGAGAATTTACTTCACCGGAACTCTGAACATCCAGAGGAAATGCTACAACTCAAATACTTGGGAACCTATACTCTTCAAATTTTGCATGGCTTTATATAATTGGATTATCTGAGTTGCTGGAAAAATTCATTGATAACTATCAACAAACACAGACTGTAGAGCAGGGTAAGTCATTTTATTTATTTTTTTAAATCACAATATCAACGCTTTGAGGAGTATATGTATAGGAAATCAGGAGAGGCAGCAAATGTGACTAACGTGTCCGACTGTATGTTTTTTTTAATTTATGGCAAAGACTCCTTCCCTTTGTGAGGACAATGCCTCCAGCTAGTGACTTGTGCAATGTTTGTGAGCAGGGCACAGTGAAGCTCAGGCATTCTGCGAACAAGCCTGATAGAGAAAAGGAGGTGACTCTGCAAGAGATGCGCAGCATCAATAAATTTTTCAGAAGGAAAGGAATTATTACAAGGACTTTTGTGCAAGAGTGAAGAGGCAAGTACAGGAGGGTGACAGCAATGAAAATCATGTCAGCTTAGACTTCGAACAACAAGTGCATTATCCGTACAATCCCCACCAATCAGGCCCAGTCTACTTTAAAACGCCGGGGAAAAGAGACCTCTTCGGTCTCAACTGCCAGCCTTTGGGGAAACAGATGAACATTCTGACAGATGAAAGCCATTGCACAGGGAAAGGTGCAAACACTGCGATTTCCTTCCTACATTATGAACTGGAAAATTGAGGAAATGGAAAGACGGTGCTGTGCCTGCACCCAGACAACGGCACAGGTCAAAAAAAGAATAATACAATGATGTGGTATCTATTGTGGCGCTGCATGAACAAACGACACGAACGCATCAAGCTGAGTTTCCTCATCTCTGGGTACACCAAGTTTGGTACTGACGGCGGATTCGGCTTGATCAAGAGGAGGTACAACAGAACAGAAGTCAACAGTTTGGCAGACAATGTTGATGCTGTTGAAACCTCATCACGGATGAATTCTGCTGTCCTTGTCAGCACGGAGAATAGAATCTCTTACATTCCCACGTACGACAGGTCATCCACATTGAGCGCCTGCTTAAACAAGATAAAAGGCCTCAAGACATATCACCACTTTATTGTCCACAACACAGGCACTGTCATCTGCAAGAGAAATGTAGATGCAGATGAAGAGCGACATCCTCTCTTGAAAAAGAATGCCTCTATACAACAAGACTTGCCACCTAAGGTCCCATCACCTGGACTGAGCTCAAAGGGACAGTGGTACCTGTATAAAGAAATCAGGGAGTTTGTCGCAGAGAAGTTCCAGGACACTGTGACACCAAAGCCCAGTGTTGCTCAGCCTTCTGCGGATGCAAATTCAGAGACAGAGGACAGTGTCAGTGAGCCGAATGATACCCTAGTAGTTCCTGGACCTTCACGTACAATCACAGTAAAAAGGGCAATGCAACGCAGTTCCGGGCGAGGTGGAAAGACCAGAACAGAATGACTAGTAAGTGATTTTTCTTCGAAATAAGTGTTTCTGTTAGCCTTAATTCATAGAAGATCAAGAAAAGATAAGTATGGAGTTGTATGAGTATGCTGAGAGTGCTGTGATCAGTCCCATGTATAAAAATGAACTAAAAATCTTCAACAAAAACTTTGATCGTGATTTTCTTAGTTGTACTTTTCTCCTCTTTTCGAACTTTAAATGGCAATATCTCAGGTTCTAGAGAAGATAACTGCATGAAATTAAAAGTAAATTGTTCCAAAATGAATGAAGACAATACAATCAACTAAATTTCCATATTTTGGTCAATGTGAAGGGTTTTCCCTAGCAGCCACACATATTTCAAAAAGGCAAATTTAAAGTGACATAATTAATCAAAGTGTGAAAATTTTTTGTCCTCAGCAGACCCATAATAAAGTTTTCCCATATTCAGTGAGTAGACATCTTGACCCGTTTCTAAAACAATCAAACTGCAAATACGTATATTGATTCCACTCAAAGAAATAATGTATGACCCATCTATTAGAGATTATCACCAGATCAGCTCCTGTCATGGGCCTGCCACAAACTTCTCGTCTGAAAAACGGAAATGAAGAGTACAAGTTCAGATCTCTGCCTGTGAAGCACCAGAAAGTACCTTATTTTAAGTGAAACAAGAATGCACTGAACACACGTGATGAAATTTTAGTCTCAGAAGCAATCAAATACACATCCATATTCTGAAATATGAGTTTCGGAGGCATCTAAAACATTTAATGAAATTATAGTTTAGTCAAAATCATTTACAACAAGCTCAGGTAGACATGACACAATCATAATCTTTTTCCTCCAGCTACAGAACAGGGAAAGGCTAGACATAGACTTACATAATGAGATGTGCACTGATCTGTTGAAACAAGTATTGCCATACGCTAGGCCCTACACTGCAGTACAACTCGCTCAGTGGATAATGCATGGATATGACACACTCATGCATTTGAGTGAATCTGCCTTTTTACACCGTGACAGAGTTCAGTGTATTTTGCAGCTTCATTTCAACATTCATCGTAAGCCCAAGTCCAGAGTACTTTTAATGAGGCAGTAAAAAAAATAAAATGACTTTCATTTGACACTAAACTGATTGAGAGAGTAAAAAAAAAAAACTAAAAGAACAAAGCTGATTTTTTCCATAAAAACAGCAGCATTGTGCAATGTGCATGCACATAGTGAACTTTTATTGATGTTAAAATAAAGATCAACAGCCCCCAACCTCCTTTTTCTCCCCCTCCCCTCCTCCCAAAGTTACTTAAATGAAAACAAAATGTATACAATATATTCTATACAGCCAAAATTGTCGAAAACGGCTACCCATTGTCAAATAGAAAAGTGATGGTCTTAGCCAAGCAAACATATTTGACAATTTCATAATGTATAATTTTTTTTTTTTAAACATATAAAGGAAAAAATGAAAGGGTGAAAGAGTCCTTCGTACAAATGGCTGTTTTGTACAAGTGGCCATTAGAGCAGATTTGACTGTACGTATACAAACCTCATTTTGTTGATCAAGAAACAGCAGCAGGATCAAATAGGTCCGTACTTGAGCATGAAGTAGAGGTCCACAAAGAAGACGACAGTGCCTAGGATCAGGCCAGACAGCATTTGCTAACAGGAGGGATGGAAGGGAGGAATAAAAAGAATTCAAGTTAAGCAAGGTTTACCATTTCATGAGGGTTAATAATCCCCCCCCCCCATTTCTTTTACGCAGGACATCAGCATCTGTAGTGTAATGGTTATGATCTTTTCTGTTGTATACAGAAGATATGAGTTTAACCTCAGGGTAAGGAAGTTATTGTGGTGGCTGCTTCAACCCCGCTTGTTAGGGACACTCTGGGCTGAAAAATCAAAATGTAGGTGTATTTTACACCCCCATCAATAAAATTTAGATCAATTAGGATGTGGGCTTCCGAACCAGATGTCAGGACCAACCTGGGCTGAGAGTCAGACTCGACACTCCTGCGTGCAACAGTTCCTATACTTTTCTCCTCCAATAATCAAGTAACTTCACACCAAACTGGATGTAAAGCCTCATACACAGCTCTTGTTAGAATTAGAGAAATTTAAAAAAATGTTCTCCACATCATTGCAGTATAACATAAAACTTATTATTCTCTTCCACAGAGAAAAAGAAATAAAAAAACAAACGACATTTCAATTATTACAATCTAAAAAAAATTACGCAGGAATACCCAATAAGTCAAACCCAAGACCCAAGACAATTTCCACACTCTCTGGACCTACTCCATTCTTCCGGATGGCAGTAACAAATCAAAGGCCTACAGTTCTGCACTTTAAACACTCACCATTGGGAATACTTTCCCCACCACAAGCTCCACACCTTTGTAACCAAAAGCAAACCCAGCAGCGACAGTGATGAGAAAGTTCAAGATGTTGATTGTATGACGATTCATGCTCTTCACTGAAATAAAAACAAAAATGCATTATTTTTACTTTCCGCACATTGAAATGGAACTAATATGTGAGGCAGCGTGGTGGAATCAGGCTCTCGTCCATTTTTGGGCATGTAGAGTTATTGGTATCATCTTAAAGCTTGTTCACTTGTCTTTATTTGGATGAAAAAAATATCCATTTATCTTGAATACAAGTCGAGATATTTGCGAAAGAAGGAGGTGGGGGTCACCTGTTTTCAGAGGTAAAATTAGTGAGAAAATCCATGGTAACTGAAAATGTACATTTCTGAGCCTTTAATCAACGCTTTTCAGAAAAATCCACACAGAAATGAGTTCTTTAATGGGCATGAAAGATGCTGAGCCAAAAAATAAAAATTTGATAAAAATTCACAAACCTGCTGAACAATGCAAGTTTCTTTACTTTGATTATTTTGACGAGAGCCTGATTCCACCACGCTGCCTCACATATACAGGTTTTTACTAAACAAACACAAAATCTCAAAGCACACTAAAAGAAAAATCCTTCCACCCCTTGAAACCCACTCAAACCAAAGAAACATAAAAGTAACATTTTCAGAAAACAAATATATGTATACAGATAGTTTTCATTGCACAAACAACAAAAAATTCAAAGCTTATTAAAAAACATATTTTCTCATCCCTCAAAACCAAATAATCTAAAATATTCAGAAAACAGATATATTCAGACACAAAGCCACAGCTTTAATTCACTCAGTCTGTAACAGCACAGGCTCATCGTATCCTTATATACTTTTTATGTGGAAAACGAAAGAAGCATATATTCATTTTTGTCGATGATCGTTTGAGATAAAATACAAATAGATCTATAATAACTAAAAATTATAAATCTTGAATGAGTGATGGCAAAAAAACAACAAATCAAAACAACAAACGACACCAAAAAAAAGTGGAATCTACCAGGGCCTCAACCATGTGATGCAGAACAAAGAAAGAGTAAAAATGGAAGGTAATAAACAAGTAAAACTCACCTTCTTCATTGAATGTGAATGTTTTCTTGTTCTGAGGAAAAACACCATAAAAAACTAACAGTCATATCAAATCATAACCCTCACGAGACAAACAGAAATTTTCATAGTTCTTTAGAGATTAAAATAACAGCTACATTTACAACTCACAGCACACTACTGTAACAACATTTTCGTTTTTTAATAACTTTTGTTTTCAGATAAAAAATAAATGATATAGTATCTTTCAAATCCGCAGCTTGCACTGTATGCTTCCGCGGGAGCTGAGAATGTTTCTGAGTGTTCTCAGAGGGTCTGCTGGGGTAATAATGGTATTAAAGCGCATAGAGCATGCTCTTGAGTATGGATATGCGCTATATAAATGCAATTATTATTATCATTATTATTATTATTATTAAATTTATCCAATATATGTTATTATTTGGACCACCTCTAAGCAAACAAAAGTGAACATTGGACACAACAACAGTAGGTTACGATGTGACAGGAAGGTACAGAAAGAAGTTCAATAAACAAAATAAAAGATTTAGTATTAACAAATTTCAATAATCACAGAAACATTTTTTTAAAAAGAAGGAAAGGAAGGAAAAGACCATAAAAATGGTCCCCCATACACTGTTTGTGGAACCCACAAGGAAAGCGTAAGAAGGGAAGACCAAAGATGACATGGAGGCGAGCGGTACAAGAGGAAATTGAAAAAGCGGGGACATCATGGAAACAGATAGAAAAGGATGCTCAGGACAGGCTTCGCTGGAGTAATGTTGTTGATGGCCTGTGCTCCACTGGGAGTTAAAAAGGGCAAGAGAGATATACTATTTAGATTATTATGTCTCTTGAAAGTCAGCAAAATAAAAGATGACAGAAGTGCACATGTAAAGAACATACTAACAATGTCACCAGGAAAACAAACAACAAGAAACATGTCGAACTTTAAGAATGTAAGAAACAAATACGTTATCAGTAGAAGAAGAAGGAGTTGAGGTCAGATGAGGGGGAGGAGAATTACCCTAGGGTCCACATTCCGCGTCATCCGGATGTACTCCCTGTTCTCTGCTTCACGTTTCAGCTTTTGTATTCTCTCTTCTAGTTCAGGGTTCTGTAAAGATGGAACAGAAACATATACATGTTCTCTCTTAAAAGTAATATAGATACACACATGGTATGCAAACTGTGCAACTTACAATAAAAATTCATATAAACTTCTCGTAGGCATCATGATGAAAAAAAGACAGAATAAAGGCTTTAAAGCAGATACTCAGCTGTTACGTTTCCTCACCGTCAGTTTAAAAAATTCAGAGAGATTTCTAGATGGTGAAACTATACTGCTCCACAGGAAGGCTTATTAAACTGCCTGTCCGATCAATCATGTTTTTCTGAGTATCATAAGTCTCATTGAAAGTAGGACAGCTGATCGCTTTTCTTCTCAGCTTATCATTCACAACCTAACAGAGAGGAATTGACAATTTTGCCTAAATGCACATCTTATGATTCACTCTGAAATAATATTTTGAGAACTATGTAATTCCTTCTCCGTCTATTCATGTCATTATGTCTCACATACTACCATCGTACCTTCACAGAGATTTATTTATTAACATGTTGAAGCTCAACCTTAAATCTGAATGAGGCATGAATTCTTGTTGAAATTCTTCCATGTCTTGTTTACCCACCCAATACTCCGCCTCTAAAATAACATTTTCTCTACTGTCATAAAAAAATCAACAAATTAATGATTAATTACACAGGTCAAAACATCATACTTACCCGAGGAGGCAGCTGTACTGACTGGGGTATGATGCTTGCATCTTCAACAATTTCATGCAGAAAGGTTTTGTGACCTGCAAAGTCAAAACATTATTGTGTATATGAAGGCCTCTCAGTCACTATCAGCTAAACAGTTGTCTATTGGTATCACCAAAATTAACTTGTATGGTCATCAACTCCAGTACACGAAGTTGAGAAATCTTCATAAACCACAACATTTCTTATTAATTCCTGGAGTCAATACCCTTATATGTGAGGCATCGTGGAGAAATCAGGCACTCTTCAAAATAAGGAAATCGAAGAAATAGTCATTTTTCTGTCCGTGTGGCAATTCTTATCGAATTTTGGTTTTTTGACTCAACACCTGGGTCGGCGATCCCAGGCAATATGTGAGGTGTGCTGACAAAATGAGTTACCTCTCGGATTTTAGCATTATGGAAATTGATACATCAACTTGATAGCTGAAGTTTGTGCAATTTGTGAGCATGGAATAGTAAAAGACATGGTAGACTTGAACAAAATGGCATCTATTGAAAATCTATAAATCTGACCCCAGTGTCGATTTTCAGCCGATCTCCATTCTTGGATCGTGAGAAGTAACTCATTTTGTCACAATATTGTTAAAATTTTTGAAACTATCCAACTTATGTCTTTGGCGGAAAAAAATCCTTTGACATCTGTTCTTTCGGGTCATAATGGAGAAACTGTTGAAAAAACACCCTAAATGACCTAAATGGGCGTTTGAAAAGTGTAAATTGCTCTTAAAATCCTGTTAAAAATCCCTGTTTTTTCTGTTTTTCTCAAAATCTACTTTTTGACATAATGTGACCTCCTGGGTGCAAGGAGTTTTCAAAAACTACTGAAGCTAGAAGCTTGAAATTTGGCGTACATGTGCTTTAAGATCGATTCTGGGGATCTGAGTGAGGGAATTGGGAAATATTGGTAACTTGTGGAAATATTCAAATTTTGTGTAATATGTACCCCAAAATTTCGTCAACTGACTCTAGGGGGTCCAATGACTTTGGGCTCACTTTTTTAGCTTTAAAGATAGCTCAAAATCCTCACATGGATCCCCAGTTCATATAAGTTTGTACTTGTGAGCCAAATTTCAGGCTTCTTTCCAGTCCTTGCAGAATGGCAGAATGAAAGGATAATGCCTAAATCTCGCAAATAACCCAAAAATCTCGAGATTGGAAACCGTTCGGAGCAATAGAGTTCAACTTTATTTTCCCGAACGTTCGGAGAAATAGTCACTTCGAAGGCGGTCACTATTCTCACCCGGGGTGAAAATAAAACGCTGTGAAAATAAATATATTATTTTATTCTCACCCAGAGTAAGAATAATATCCATTTTATTGTCACTCGGGGTGAGAATAATATTATACTGTTATTCTCAACCCGGGTGAGAATAAAATGAGTATTTTTCTCACCCAGTCTGAGAATGCAATGGATTTTTCTTCTTAGGCCTACCTGGGTGTTGAGAACGGATTATACAAAATAATTTGTGCATTGTAAGATTAAGAGGTTTCAGGAGAGGGCAGAGCGCTGGCCGGTTTTTCTCGGCTCCCGCAGGGATTGTAATTGTTTCATTTTTTTTTAATCTTGAGAGTATGCACACATATCTTCACCAAAACGCTAGACTTTTTTTCTTAATTTTGATTGGTAAACCATTCAAGAGTAAAATTTTCCATTACAGAACCAATAAATACTGTGGGAACAAAAGAAGACGGTATTTGGTCAAAAGATATGGTTTTCCCCCAAATCAACAATAGTTGCCTACCGCGCTTGAGAGCTGGCCCGCCCGATGGCGATTTCAGTCGCCTCGCGCACTCAGCAGAGTGAGAGAGGGAGACGAGTTTTGTCGCCTGGAGCGCTCAGTGACAGGGGTCCTATGATGCCCGAAACGAAAAAAACGGGTGAAAATAGGAGGCTGTCGTTATTCTCACCCGGGGTGAGAATAGAATCAATTTTATTCTCACCCGGGGTGAGAATAATATCCAGTTTATCCTCACCCAGGGTGAGAATAATCACTCCACACTTCAAAACTAGTATCCCCAAACGGTCTGGCAATTGTACAGGAGTGTCAAAACAAATCATGACTAACTGCTGACTGAGTTCCAAAATAAATTGTAAAATTCAAAGTCTGAGTCAGACAGCGCTGAGTCAGAGAGAAAATCAAAGTAAGTCAATGTCATGTCAACAAAGGAGGAAAGAAGTCTACCTTACACTTACACTGTATTTTTACACTTCTACTCCCTAATTCCTGACTCTAATCTAACCTTGGTCATACAATAATTCACAAGAAAAGAAATAAATGACTGGTCCACATCAACTAGAAGGCTGCCAATCGTAATCGTTCTGACAAACCTTCGGATCTCAAAGTGTTGTACACTTCTCGCACTGTCTTCACAGAGATAACCACAGGCACTTTCGTCATTGACGACTGATCGAGTTTCTCTAATATGTCATCGCAAGTGGTTTTTACATCTTGGCGTATACACTGGCAAGCTACAGCCTTTTCCAAAGTTTCCCTAATGCGTTGTGTCACTTCAATCTCAGGGACGCGGCTTCGATGGGGATCTAAGTCTGTTGAAGTCTCCATTTTACTTTACTTTTCAGCACCCTATCACAGTGGTGAACGCATCAAAGTCAAAACCAGCAGGAGCTAGTGCTTCTAGTTCTAGCAGCAGTACAAACAAAATGTTTTATTCACGTCATGTGATAGGCCGTTTGTTGTTTTTCGCCTTGTACTTTTCTTCGTGAAATTATTGTATCGCAGTTTCCATATTAATAATAATAATAATAATAATAATAATAATAATAATAATAATTATTATAATAATAATAATAATAATAATCGCATGTTAGGCGGGAGTAAAATCTTGATCGAATAATGTTGGTTAGCCGGGGAATGAATCAAGAAATGTCTCCATTAGTTGCTGTTTCTGCTTCTTCTCCTTACCGCTGTTATTTTTCTTCTTCTTTTTTCTTCTTCTTCTTCTTCTCTTTTAATGCACACACCTTAATGACAAGAAGAAGAAGAATGAGAAGAAGAAGAGGAAGAAGAAGAGGAAGAGGAAGAGGAAGAGAGGGAAGAAAAAGAAGAAGAAAAGGAGGAGGAGGAGGAGGAGGAGGAGGAGGAGGAGGAGGAGGAGGAGGAGGAGAAGAAGAAGAAGAAGAAGAAGGAGAAGGAGAAGGAGAAGGAGAAGGAGAAGGAGAAGGAGAAGGAGAAGGAGAAGGAGAAGGAGAAGGAGAAGGAGAAGAAGAAGAAGAAGAAGAAGAAGAAGAAGAAGAAGAAGAAGAAGAAGAAGAAGAAGAAGAAGAAGAAGAAATAATTATTAGCAGTGGTAGTTGCGTGCTTCCTTGGATCTGTCAATTCTCTTGTACTAGATCTAGTAAATTTGTGCGTTGCTCTCTCCTCTGCATATTTAATGTCAGTTAATTTTTCACTAATTAAGAAAATACATTAGTTGATTTTATTTGTCAAAAGATTTATTAAATCAAAAGCTTTCCTGCTTGAGAAGCAAACATGAAAAAACATTGGGCTCAAGATACCCCTTTTATAAATATTAAAACCCATAAAGCACAGCAGTTCCATTGGGCACCTTTCCCTTCATTTGGCCAATGTGGCACAGCCCAACATACTTTCATTCAAGGTGACGGTTTTAAAGAGAAGAAAGAGAGGTGGTCATGATGGGGCACATTCTAGGACATTGTACATGTAGTGCAAGTCTATGGGGGTTTTTTTTACTTTTATAGTAGAGGGTTTTACGGCGCTCGCAACTGCATAAGATCATATGAGCGCCAAGGGGTGGGTGTCAACAGAGAAGTTTTTACAGGGAATCAGACTTATTCTGCTCACCTCTCTAGCCTCAACAGCACAAGGTCTGCTTCGACTATCAAGGCACCCCAAAAATAGCAGGTCACAAGAGAGTGACAAACATACAAAAGAAGTAGAGGAAAATGACAATAGTAAGGATTAGGAAAGGAAATGCAGCAGTTCCCTGTTGTAGATCAGGCACAGATATGAGCGTGACATGATGAATCAGCCCATTTACAATTCTACTGTGCTTGAACGAGAAATGCCCCCCCTTTGAGAATGGCCTAAAGACACTACAGTCATTGGCACTGCCCCGGGGGGGGGGGGGGTGTCCGTAGATTGACAACTACCTCAAGTTAGTTCAACAGAGACAAGTCAACACAACGGTCATTTTCATTTAGCGTAGGGCGAATATAGCTGTCATTTTCGTATAAAACAGAAGCATGACTTACAAGAGGCGCCCTCCAAAAATCCATTTCAAGTTGCTGGACATGCACCATTCACACACAAAAAAAACAAGGTACAGATCACAAGAACTTGTTCCTTCTGAAGTGTCATGACCAACTTTGAAGCTGCATGAAGTTCGATTTCATAAGTTTTTCTTCATTTATTCACATAGTATTTTATGTTAGTTTATCTGAGACCACAAAATGAATTTTTCCTTTCATCAATAGTAGCCTCTCCACAGCATATTACCATGTAATCTAAAAACTTAGTTTTAGTAAGAGATTTACGGCACTTGCAACACAATAAGGTCATATAAGTGCCGAAGAATAGATGTGTAACAGGAGAGTAACATACACAAAAAAGAAGGAGGGGAGATAATGACGACAGATGTTTGATAGGAAAGAAGGAGCAAACCACACCAGAGCACCCGCCAACCACCCACTCTAAAAACTAAGAATAAGATACTATAACAACCTTTTGAAGTAATGGAAGAGATTGACAGGCTAAACCACATCAATAAAATAACAACAAAAGACAGGAAAAGAAGATATTGTTATATTTATTGCAATCTCATTTTCAGATACCACAATGCCCAAGTACAAGAAGCTTTGATTTTGCAATTGAAACAAAGAAAGAAATACAGTGTTTCCAAGAGAGTAGCGGTATTCTCTTTACGTGACAAGAATTAGAATGAAGAAAAAAAAAGAATAGAAAACTGCTTCTTGTCATATCAAGCATGCTTACTATGAAACAACATACATACACTAGACACACCTCACCATTGTTTTGTTTTTTTGGTTTCAGTTTCATTAAGTGTTTTATGACACATGCAACACAATTAGGTTAAATAACTTAAAAGTGCCACAGAGTAACAAACTCTACAAAAACAAGGACAGATAAGAACGACAGACGTTTGATAGGAAAGAAAAAGAAAATCACACCAGAGCACCCGTCATCCACTCACACATCACAGTTGATAGACTACAAAGCAACAGAACCAAATGAATGGCATAAAAAAACAGGGTTAATAAGCAAAACAAGAAAACATTAGAAGGAACATGGTCTTGATGAGTGTAGCAACACAGTGGTCATAGTCAGCTGCTGTCTGGTGCTTTAGGCATGACAGGAAATTGGTATTATATTGACTTTTAAAAATAAAGCATTCCGAATAACCTATCACATGCCAATTGTCATAGTTTATCAGAACAAGCTCTAAACATACAACTATGGCTTGAAAGAGGGATAGGGCTCATTAATGGCCACAGTTGGGGCAAAAGTAAAGTATAACCCCCCCCTCCCCCCTTTCCACTCCCCCACGTCTTCTCGCATCACAATGATCCCAGCCCACCATTTCATGTTCCTGTGTCAACAATGATGACCCCGACTCTACTCTATAAAAAATTTCTGCTCTAAGCCGATAAAATCAAGCTTGAAACCAACTCAGAATGTAACGAAACATTCTTGCGATAGACTTCCCAAACAAAAATACAAGTAGTCGGGCACAGATAACATGAACGTGAAAAACAAAAATCACGGCTACAATTTGCTGTTCCCCGGCTGATATCTCTTTAATATTTCTTTATATATACAGTTTACCCAAATTATGGATGTGTCGAACACATTTATCACCCGTTGTGTTCACTAAGAAAAACTTAACATCACCATTCACAATTTAGATCACTTAGAAAGTGGCCCGCTCCAACCCAGTTTGTAAGGGTCAATTTGGGCAGATATTTTCAGGAATTCTAAGATCCCCTTAAGTTCTTAAGCAAGTTTTCTTGAACAAAATAAATGCAACTGCAAAAGGGAAAAGAGAGCTAAGTTCACAGGAAATCATAATAAAGAAATGCCATTAACATTCATTGAAAATGACTTCTATTGAAAAATAGGAAAGCAGATTACAATGACAAAATTAACACCTTCATGAACACCGCTGTCTTATGTACGACCTGGCATATTTCTCGTGCACTGAGTTCGGTACAGAAATACCCAGCATCTCACTTTCTCAATTTAAACCCTTTACTATGAATTTAAGAAAAGAGATAGAATGAAGCAAATGCAGATCTGGTACAAGTCATATATATAAAAAATGTACAAATATGTGCAACTCTTTCCAGGAGGCAAACTTTCAACTTGTACAAATTATGCTGTATCTTGGAGCATCCAACATAGCATCACTAGTAAACTTTGAGCCTAATAATAACCAAACACAATGCGTGGTCAGGACATCTGTTCACCTACCAATAGTATTGTCAGTAGCAGAAATCCCACCACTCACATCTCTGAAAAGTACTGGGTACGTGTCCTGACCAGGCAAAGGAAGACAACCAAAAGTGGAGGCTTTTGTAGTATAAAACGTCAGTTCAAGAAGACAAAACAAAAAATATTCTGAAGATATCACACGCAACCCAACTTTTGCAATTTCTAGAGATAGCACACCAAAATTCATTATGAGAATAGACTTTATAACAGAAACAGGTCTATGGGAATTTCAAGGTCCAGAGGTACTGTGTTCGCTTTGCATTCAAAGGGTCCCAGTTCGAAACCTGATAGCGACGAAAATATTTTCTTCTCTAAAATATTCTTTCACATCCTTTCCTATTCTCTAGTCCTGTTCTGTCATCTGCTTTTATCTCCACTCTCTCCCCCCATCCCAGCCTCTTCTTTTCTCCTGACTCTTTCTACTGCTACTTCTGGCTCCTTACTGCTGTCTTTTAGCCATACCCTTGCTCTAAGCGTAGGTAAGATTAAACGCCCAGCCTTCTCGGATAAGGGCGAAAAATCTAAGAGGTTCCATGTGCGAGTTGAGCACGTTAAAGATCCCTCGGTGGTCCTTAAATCGATAAGAGTAGGCTTCAGCTACCACCTAATGAAATCCAAAACTATTGCCTACCAAAACTAAAAATACTCTAGTCAGCATAAAAACAGAGTACCTTCGAAAGTGAAATGTTCGCTGCCTGAGGACAAGAGGCCCCTATGAAGTAGGAAAAATGGTCACATTTGTAAAAATCAATAGCACCCCAGGTTGAAGAACCAGCAGCTGACTACCCCTGAGATGTAACAGGGGAAAGCAAGGAAGAAAGATACAGGTCTGTAGATCGGGCACACACAGCCATATAACAATATGAACTGCACAGAAAAGACCCAACAACTACTCATGATTCAATTTAAGAAAGGTAACAAAAACGTGAGGAGAAAAACTCTGTGCTCTCTCCTGCTACAACTTCTCCTCTCCTTCCTCCACTTCCTTTAAGCTCATCATGTCCACTTGACCTTTGCCCTTTGTCTCAGTGCTGACCAGGTCGTTGACCTCTCTGTAACAGCCTGGGTCAACAAGAATTACCTGCAAAAATTTCACACAAACAAATCAATTTTATGTTTAGGAATCTATTCAAAAGTAATACAGTAAAACCATGGTAACTAAAGCTTCAAAGCTTCAAGGGACCAGAGAATAATTTTTGTGATAAGCAGATTTTGTGTTAAGGGAAGCTGCAATGCATAGAATAAAAAGAGAAAAAACAATTTTGACGGGGATTCAAAATCCCTTTCTGGTAACAGGAGTTTTGTGTTTAAGTGGCTACGTGTTTAACAAAGTCTACTGTAATTCTTTGAAAATTCAAAAAGGAGCACAGCTGCAATCTCACTCCAGGTGTAGTACTCCCTTCACCTATCTACAGCATGCGTGGTTCACCCATAGAGCACAGTCGTACGGTGACGCACAAAATTTGTTTAATGTTCTATTACGTAAAGCACCCACAATAATAAAATAAAAGAAGCCAGAAACAAACCGCTAGCCACATGTATCAAAACAAGGTCCTCTTTGGTGCTGTAACTCTCATTTCTGAGTCTATAGCGCCGTAAAACATCTACAGTGCCATGCCAAAGTCCACACGCTTTAACTAAACATAATAGGATATTCAACTGTGGTTACCTAATCTATAAATCGCTCTTTGGGATAACCCAAGAGATGACGACAATTGTAGCGAGTTTAGCTGTAGGTTGATATTAATAAGACTGCACATCTCAAATGTGTTCCTACTGAATAGTGCCAAAACATAGCCCACAGTAGGCAGACTAAAAATAAATACGATAGACTGTACACTATGCTATGCCCAAATTATGTGAGCCCCGGAGCAATCCAGCAGAGTGCTCGAGTGAATTGTGATTGGTTCATCGTCTTGCAACTATTTTAAGTGACTCTGTGACCATGAACCTGAGGGAGGAGAATGTGACATACTTAAGTCACCGTCCTATGAGTGGTGCCATTGAATGGTTTTGTAGGAGAGTAGTGAAAGTTATTACTAGAGTGTTCCATTCCGATGCAGGATGAACGAAATTGATGTTTAGCTAACAAACAAAATTACTTCTAGAACTAAAAGTGACAAGTAAAAATAATGAAAATAAAAGCATGGGGTCCTCTCTCACCAACCCAAAGATCTTAAAATTATACACCATCTCATTTACTATGCCCTTGACTCTCTTCAACCTGTGATAGTTAAATTGTGAACGCCCACTTTTTAGCCCCACAAGCCGCCCCTGGTCTGTGGCAGACATTTTTTTATTTTTTTAAATGAAAGCACTTTCCATAAAAAAGATTTAGATTCTATTTCGTGCTGGTCACAAATCCCTAACCCTGTTTAATGTTCTTTAGTTTATTGATCAATCAGCTAGAGTACAGTGTTTATTCTTTGACGTACCAGATCATTTTACATTCTCAGGAACCCAGCAGAAGTAGGTGGTTATTAAAAAATAAAAACTCCTCTACTTATCAACAACGCCTCTAGCATGAATTTGTGCTTAATGGTTTCAGGTCTGTAAGAATGAGGCCAAAAAGAAACTGAGAGAGAGAACAATCTTTTCAGCTTAAAAAGAATGTATATCCCCCTTTAGTGGTACTTTTTTTTTTTCTAGAATCCTTAATTTCTGAGACAAATTCAGATCTTCAGGGTCATCATTTTCCTAAAAGGCAACTTTGAGTTTGAGCTCATTTATAGAGGGCAGTGACAATATACACTTATTTATACATCAACATTTAGTTGAGTTACTGAAATCATTGAGATAAAGGAACTCACCATCTCCAATTCATCATTAAAATTGTCCACTTCCACTTCCAGGGCTAGTTTTCGAATACTCTCCCTGACTCGCTTGCCCTCTTTTGCTGAAAAAAAAAAAGTAAATCAGATACGTCGGTAACAATATTGCTTAAGACTTTTTAAAGAAAATAATTGTTCCAATAAGAAAAATCTTACATGACTGTTACCTCCGAGTCTGTACCAATCACGGAAGTGCAAAAAGTTCAAAAGCACGGATGTCAGATTTCATGAACAACAACATTCCAAGGCATCTTGTGCCTTGAGCTATCCCACAAACTCTGTGGTTACCAAGCAGAGCCATTTGTTTTCTCTATGTCTAACAGAGTCCTCTTTCAGTAAATGTACCAGCTCTGGCCAATAGAAATTCATGTTATATTATCTTACCTCTCTTATTTGCCTCTCCGCACTCAGCTCTATATGACTAGCACTATTGATCCACTGCTAGATGCAGCCCCTTCCACAGGCACCATTCACATGCCAGTGCCCGGTACTCAATAACCTTTCAATGTCACCTCCCCCCTTGCCCAAAAAAAAATAAATTTCAAAACAGTATTATTGCCATTTCCAGCCTACCTGTATCCAATAACAACTCAATAATATCACCCCCCCCCCCCCCCTCCCCCGGGATTCCCGGGGCCTGGCAGTCACCCTGTACACGTGTTCCTGTCCGATCTGGCAAATTCAAGGAGGTTTCAAGGAGATTTTCCCCCCCCCCCAAACCAAACTTGTACATGAATAGCTCTTGTTCAACCTGCCAGTGTCATGCAACCTATAACCTCTTAACACTATGTCCATACCTCCCCCCCTCCCTTCTCCCCTCCACCACTACCACCCGTTGGTCCTCCAGCAGTTCTTACTCCAGATCTACGAACACTTCTCCATGCATCTTCTAGACCACTGGTACTCAGAGAACTAGGACGACATCATTACAAGCATCATTATGTGTGACGTCATGGTGAAATCAGGCCCTCGTCAAAATTATGAAATCAAAGAAACCCGCATTTTTCCACCCATAGGGCAATTTTTTAAATCTATTTTTTTTTGGGGGGGGGGGGGGATCAACACCTTGAAGGTTACTCAAAACCACGTCTATGTGGACATTACAGAATAAAAACCTGATCAAAGGCACAAAAAATGTTAATTTGCAGTTTTTAAGGACACCCAAGGTCGGGAATTCAGCAAACTTGGGTGACCATTTTCTCGCTAATTTTACCTCTGACACCTAGCGACCAAACCTCCTCCAATGGCAAATATCCCGACTTCTATTCAAGATAGATGTGTATTTTTTCATCAAAAGCAGTATAAATGAACAAGCTTTATAAATATACCAATAACCCCATATGCCCAAACACTGATGAGGGCCTGATTCCACCACGTCCTAATAATAATAATAATAATAATGAAGATTATTTCTATAGCGCCAACTCCCGTGTAAACACAGCTCTAGGCGCTTTACATAAATGCATGTAAGAATAATATTCATGCACGCGACACACACACACACACACACACACACACACACACACACACACACACACACAAACACTTATACTGACACTTATACTCTGCTCACCTGGAACAACAACCCTCAGCTTCATGTGAGCCCTCTGGATCTCTAACGTTTCAGTCTCCTTCAGTTGCTTGATCACTTCCAGCGCCTGGGGGAAAAAAACATTGAACAAAATTGTACATTAAAATTCGAGGGTAACATTGATGAATGTGATGACTGTCAATGTTTTTTTACTGTCTGGGGTGGTCGCTTTGAACGCCTCGTGGCCGGGCTGTCGTCTCTATGACTATCCAGACTATCATTAACAGTCCTCTTAGACTATCTGTTCCCGACATTATTTTATGGTGCATATCATTACATTGAGTCTGTCTTTCCATAGCTGCCACTCAGGAATTTCAAAAAAGGAGGAAATTCATGCGAAGGCGGACGAGCGATCTCCGAAGGCCGGAGTAAAACCAGTGAGATCCAGTAGAGGCAATATATACTGGAAAATCTAGCCTATCTAGCCTATGGTTTTTGAAGGGAAAACTGTCATATTTGTTAACCATAGGCAACTGAATTAAAATGCATTTGGAAAAAAAAAACAACAACAAAAAACAAAAAACAACCAACAAAGGCACTAAGTAGACTAACAAGCATTTGAGTCAATTTGACACAGTTTGGACTTGGTGACTAAAAATCCAGTGTTTGTTGCAAGCTGGTGTCTTATAAAAAGATTTCTTTCAACTTAAAACTTGTACATCGATGTTGAGCGCGCGCAGTATTGGATCAAGGAAGCAACACCTCTGCCGCTGTACTGAGCACTCCTGTACAACTGCGGTCCCGTTTGCATTTAACTTAGTAGTCCCTCTGTAGAGTGTAGATCTAACCTGAATTAAAATTATAGCCTAGGCTATCTAATCTAGATCTAGAATCTAGATATCTAAATATGTGTAAATCTAGATTATATCTAGAGATAGATTATCTAGATCTAGATCTATATTCAGTGTTCACTTCATCAACAGCCACAATATAGCCGTCATGTAAACAAACGGGACCGCAATTGTACAGGAGTGCCGCGGGCCGCGATTTCTTTATCGCACCAAACGCAAAGTGCAGCAAGCGGTTAGTTCAATTTTCTCATGAACTTTTCAAGTCGCACCGGCAGCTTCTTTCTCGTTCCAGCTCCTTTTATTTTTGCATTCAGCATCAATTTCTCTCGAATTTCCGCCGTTTTCAATGACAACTCGGCGCGCTAACGTCCCGATGCCCGATCGACACTTTGTTGCTCCATAATAAACAAAGTGAAACTAGCGCTAGGCCTAGAAGAATGGAAGTAAAAAGCTACGGGCGGACATGCGCAAGCTGCGTTTTCGTCTCTCTCCCGGTTCGGTGTTTTCCGCGTGTAAAAAAGTATCGTAATTTGCGGCCGAGAGCGGTCCAGCGGAGGAAGGAGGAAAGTAGCAGGAAAAGCTAGATGAAGCGGAGTTTTCGCTATTTAGCGGGAAAGTGGCAGCTATGGTCTTTCTTATCCCCCCACCCCCCACCTTCCACCCATTCAACGCCTTTGTATTCTAAACCACTGTCAGGGAATCCTTCACAAAACAGTCACGTGTCGTCGCATTCCCAGCTAAAGTGACCCCCACCCCAAAGGGAGGTCACTAGAATATCAAGGCAATGACATGACAGCGTCCCTTCCTCCCTTTGCAAAGGTTCATGTAAACGCTCGCTCCGTATAAACACACACTAAGGAGCCCTCCCGAACACCGTGCCTTTAGGCGGAGACTACAGTACTTACTTGTTGCTTTGTATTCTTGGATGGTTTTACAGAGAAGTGCATGGATTTCATAGACTTTTCTATCATCGTGACAGGGTAAGGCCTTTTCGTTTCAGGGTGGACACATTTATCTGCCACGATGGTTGCAATGTCTCGGAACATTTCATCCAGCTGAGCACTGCGTTCTTTCTCAGACACTTGCAACTCCCCTTTGCTGAGAATCTGAGAAATGTATTTTTCAACGTCAATCAAAAACTGTGACCAAGGGGACCACATATTTTAAACTAATACAATCACCAAAATGCCAGGGTGGAGAGGCAGATCATACTATAGAACACATCCTTCAGCACTGCAAGACACACAGGGCTCTGAGACAGGAAACATGGCTGAACCCATTCACATTACACCATATAAATACAGTGGGACCTGTCCATGACAACTATCCATTTGTAAGGAGAAAAGTAGTCATCTTAAACAGGTTGTCCTCTTGCACAGTGTCATTGTAATATTTGGAAAAAATACAATTTGGGGGAGGGGGAGGGGGAGGTTG